GAGGTATAAAATGGGTTGCCTGGATCAATAGTGTTGTTTTATAAAATAAAAATGAAGATTAATTCTTGGCCTTTTGGCTAAGATCAAGTGTAAAATAAAAATGAAGAAAGAGTGGAACCAGGATAGTGAAATTTCCTGACCTCCTGCCTTTGACAGATCTGTCTTTCGGCTCTTCACTGTCCTGAGACCATTTTATTTTTATGCCTCAACTCTTCATATCTTCTCTCTTCCTCTCCTTCTTTTATTCCTTCCTTCTAACCTCTATATCCATGTTTTTCAACCTTTAAAAAAAAAATCTCACGGCACACTTGAACCTATAGTTAAACTTCTGTGGTACTCTTAAATTACATTAATAAAAAAAAAAAGAATATACTTACAGTACTTTGAAGTTCTTTCAAAAATAATTGAATTAATGATCTTTAAAAGTTTTTACAGCCCACCTAAGATTCTCTCATGGCACACCAGTGTGCTGTGGCTCTATATCTTTGACAGCAATGTATTAAGTGCTTGCTGTGTGCAAGGTGCTCTTCCAAGCATGGGGCTATAGTGACACATAAAATAGACAAAATCCCCATAGCCCAGGAGTTCACAGTCTAATGGGAGGAGAAAGACATGGAACAGAATGAACAAAATGAGCATGTTAAGAGGTGATGAGTTACAGAGAAAATGAAGCTGAGACAGGGTTTAGGGAGTCCCATGTAGGGAGGGGCTGCCATCCTGTGTAGGGACATTAGGAAGTTCATTGAGCACAATCTGGAGAAAGAGCATTTGAAACACAGCATAGGGTGAATGCAAAGGCCCTGGGACATGAACATATCTCTTGTGTTAGAGGAATAGCCAGAAAACCATGGTGGCCAGAGAGGGATTGACGGCAAAGAGTCCAGAGTGGATGGGGTTAAACCATGCAACTATGTTCTTAGAGTCCACTGAAAGGACATCAGAGGGTTTTAAGTAGAGGAATGACATGATGCAGCTCACCCTTTACAAGGCAGCTTTGACCTCTTTTCTCATTCCTTCCATTCCATCTACCCACCCACTCATTTACTCACCTGCTCAGGAAATACCTGTTGAGTCCCTGCTCTGGGCCCGACATTATTCCAGATGATGGAAATAGAGCAGTGACAAGGTTCTTGACCTCAAGGACCTATATTCCAGGGTCATGCAACTCAATAGGACCTTCTGCAATGATGGGAATATTCTAGACCTGTGCTGTCTGCTAATGGGAGCCACCAGCCACATGTGGCTATTGAGTATTAGATGTGGTGAGTGAGACTGAGGGACTGGATTTTATTTTATTTTATCAAGTGAGTAAAATTGTATTGTAAATAAATTAATGTAATCAATCACTTAAGCTCAATTTATCAATTCTGTATTCCACAGCACAGCTTTATGCTGTGAGCCCAGGATCATTCTAGGTCCTAGAAAGAGCTCAGCAATAGGTCTTTGCTTTCTTGGAAGTTACATTCCCATGTGTGGGGAAAAGAAAAAAAATAAATCATGTAAGGGCAGTGACTATGGCTCAAAGGAGTGGGGCGCTGGCCCCATATACTGGAGGTGGGGGGTTCAAACCTGGCCCCACCCCAAAACTGCAAATAAATAAATAAATCTTGTAAGAGAAGCTCAGATCAAGGGCCAGACACAGTGGTTCATGCCTGTAATCCTACCATTCTGGGAGGCCAAGGTGGGAAAATGGCTTGAGCTCAGGACCCCATTTCTAGAAATACTAGAAAAATTAGCTGAGTATTGTAGTGGGCACCTGGAGTCCCTGCTACTTGGGAGGCTGAGACAGCAGGATTGCTTCCGCTATCTCCACCTGCATCATGGGGGTGTGAGGAGGAAAGCTGTAGGAAGACCAGGAAGAAGAGAATTCCAAAATGACAATGCACAGAGGCCGGGGCAGCTTGGTGTGTCCATACACCAGAGCAGGGGATTGAATGTAGCAAGTGAAGGGGCAGAGGCAGGAAATAAGGTGAGGGAAGGCTTTAAACAGGGCGAGGAGGTGAAGGGTCTGGGGACAGGAGAACACTGCTTGCTATGTTGTTGCCATATGCTATTGAGTGAAGATTTATCTTTTGTTTGTTCTCGAGCTGAAGTGTTAACCATTAGATCTTCAGGCTTCTCACCTGTCCATGCAACATCATTTTAATTTGGCAATCAGCTTGGTAATAAGGGAGGCTGAACAGCTAAGTCCATCTGTGATGTCTGAGTGTAGTGAGAGAGAATGGTGGTAGTTGCCTGAGTTTTATTTAGAAGAAGAGGAAGGGGTCAAAGAAGACAGAAAAAGAAAGGAGGGCATTGTGGGAGACTGAGGCAGGTAGATTGCCTGAACTCAGGAGTTCAAGACCAGCCTGAGCCAGAGCAATATTCTGTCTCCAAAAAAATAGCTGGGTATTGAAGTGGGCACAGGTAGTCCCAGCTGTTTGGGAGCCTGAGGCAAGAGGATCACTTGAGCCCAAGAGTTTGAGGTTGCTATGAGCTATGATGCCACAGCCCTCCACCTACGGTGACAGAGTGACACTCTGTCTTAATAAAAAAGAAAGAAAAAGAAAGTTGGACAGGAGGAACAGAAGTCTACCTCTGGGCCCAGAGGGAAATAGATTCTGTAATCAATTATTGATGTGGGCCATGGGCACTGGGAAGGAAAAGTCATGGCACTCTTGGCAGTGAATCTTCCACCCTCTGTTTACTTTCTAACTTATTTATTAATAATCCAGTAAGTACCTACAAATATCCTACCTAAATCTGTGATTTCCCAGAAAGAGATGGCAGACTGCAATTATTCCTAAATGTCCCTGGGCTGACAGTCTGATCTTCCCACCATGAGACTCAACAACCCGGCCTCCAATTTTTCCTGCCTTGCACATTCACCTCTCCTCTTATTCTAGGAAGCCCCCAGGGTTAATTTAGGATTCCTTTATTGGTGCTTATGTCACGTTTTCCTTCGGTTCTTCACAAAGGGCCAGGTGATTAAAGGAGATGGGAGACAGGATTTCTAAAGGTGATTGTTTAAGCTTGAAAGACGTGACAAAAAAGATGAAGCATGTTCCGGCCTCGATATGGCAGTCGCGCTTTGAAGATGTTTCTTCTCTCCCTGAAAATAGAAGCAAAGACCAGAGTTCAAGTAGTAGTATGTATTGGTTGAGAATAGGATGTGAATAAGAAAGTGACTTTGTTCTGATTTTTTCAGATTTAGCAGTTAGTGGGAGCAGCTAAGCCAAGAGCAATCACGCACCTTCTACCCCACCTGGCTCATGGGGGCAGGTAGGTCAATGAACAAAGAGCTCCTTGACCTCACGTCTGTGGTGATAGTTCTGGTAGGAGAAGGACCTGCAAGGGGATGGTTCTGCTGTGATAGATGCAAGTGGAAGCTGTTCTCAGTCCTAGCCACAGACAGGAGACCACTGTGGGTGTTTTTTAATATCCACCCAGTTAAGATGGTCCAGAATCCCAAACCCCACTCCTTTGCCTCTCCTCGGTTCTGGGAAGATGATTTTCTTTCTTTTTTGAGACAGAGCCTCAAGCTGTCACCCTGGGTAGAGTGTTGTGGCATCACAGCTCACAGCAACCTCCAACTCCTGGCCTCAAGTGATTCTCTTGCCTCAGCCTCCCAAGTAGCTGGGACTACAAGCACCCACCACAATGCCTGGCTATTTTTTAGTTGTAGTTGTCATTGTTGTTTGGCAGGCCCAGGCTGGATTCGAACCTGCCGGCTCTGGTGTATGTGGCTGGCACCTTAGCCGCTTGAGCTGCAGGTGCTGAGCCAAGATGACTGTCACCACCAAGCCCAAGTTCAGTAAGAGTTGCTAATTCAGTGTCACCTATAAGCTCCCTACATTATAAACCCAAATGTTGCCAGAACCACCACAGTTTTACATCCTGGAGGGAAGAGAAGTGAGGTTTCAGTCACACATCTGATAAAAGAGCTTATTTTTACTTTGAGATTCCCCAATTACAGAATGATTTAGGGCAGTGGACCCATGCAGGAGGTCTGCAGGGCATTCCCTTAGGCCAGCAAGTACTGATGCTAGCCCAGGTAGAAAGCCAAAGGCACAAACTAGAACAAAAGAGGATGAAGTTGGCCTTTGGAGGTAGTCGATGACTTATGAGCTGCTGTGGGGGAGCAGGCCCCAAATGAAGAAAGAAGAAAAGTTAAACCTCATTTTTTCCTTGGGTGTCTACTCAGTGATGGGGGTGATGCATCGACAACATGATACCTTCGTTTTGGGGGACCATGGAAGTCTAAGATGTACCCTCCTCTAAGTTGCCTTTTCATATCATGTTCCAGAAATTCCACCTTCCTGACCTTTCATACCCACAGCCTCCCATACTCAAGCCTTGGAATAATCTTTTTTTCTTTCCTTCCTCTCTTTCTTCCTTCCTTCCTTCCTTCCTTCCTTCCTTCCTTCCTTCCTTCCTTCCTTCCTTTCTTCCTTCCTTCTTTTCTTCCTTTCTCTCTCTCTCCTTCTCTCCCTCTCTCTTCCTTTCTTTCTTTTTGAGAAAGAGTCTCATTCTGTCACCCTGGGTAGAGTGCCATAGTGTCACAACTCACAACAACCTCAAACTCTTGGGCACAAGTGATCCTTCTGCCTCAGCCTCCTGAGTAGCTGGGACTATAGGTGCCCACTATGATGCCTGACTAATATTTCTACTTTTAGTGGAGATGGGGTCTTGCTTTGGTTTGGGCTGGTCTTGAACTTGTGAGCTCAGGTGATCTACCCACCTCAGCCTTCCAGAGTGTTGGGATTACAGGCATGAGGCACTGTGCATGGCCAAAATGACACATTTCTGAGTCAGAAAAAGTTTGCCTATCTCCTCTCTGCCATGGAAATTCAGATTTCTTCCAGCCTTCTAATTTGAGAAGGTGATCCAGTGTCCCTTACCCTCCTCATCAATTCCAATGTATCTTTGGAAAGTCCCGCCTTGCACACTGGGAGGAACATATCTCAGCTTATCATCAGAGATAAATGAACACAGTTTTGATCCCAGCGCTCACCTGAGCATCAGCAGTACACCCAGGTGTGGTCCTGGTCATAGTTGTAGGAAGTCGCACACCACATGAGGTTCTCTTTTGATCCTTTGCTAGTGCAGTTATAATAATTCTTGTTTTTATAGTTGAATGGGAAGTGGCAGGGAAAGCCAGGAACCAATGAGGATATTCCTAGGGAGAAGAAGGAGGTGAGACAGAGGTTATTCACACTGTAGTGGGGGCTTGGGCTTCAGGGTCCATACCAGATTCAAACTGGGTAATCTCTGTGTTGGTTGTGCTGTTTGGGGGCCATGCTCAGAGGTTCCCATTGGAGACCTGAATTCTAACCTAATACTAAATGTCAGAAGAACATTGCCTGCGTGATTCTCCTCCCTCAGAAGTCATATCAGTTTAGGACTTGGGAAAGGATGAGGGATAGAGTAGAGGAGTGGAGTGGGGAAGGGGGAGAGTGAAGCCATGGGGGTCTTGGGGAAAGAGACAGAAAGGACATTCTGTCACCAGGGGAACCAGGGAGTGGACAGAGTTTGTCTCAGAGGATGAATTTCAATGGAATTTCATTTCGCATGGATTCCATAATAAAATTTATTTACAACCCCTAAATCAATACTCATGGTGCTTCTGTGGTTATTTTTGGAGACACACAGAGGGTGAAAAATTTGAGTCATTGGTGTTCATGACCTCAGCTGAGGGAGAAGGAGGCTCTGCCTGCTCCTCCTAGCGCTTGTGCTATGAGCAAGTGCCCTTTGCCAGTCTAGTCTAGTACTGTGTTTTTCAAATTTTCATGCTTTTTGCTGGTAATTTTATCATTGAAAATAGCACCCAAGCATGATATTGAAGTGCTGGCTGGTGTTCTTAAGCAGGAGAAAGCTGTGATGTTCTCCATGTGTCTTATGGAGAAAATCTGCATGTTAGAGAAGCTTTGTTCAAGTGTGAGTTGTAGCGCTGTTGGCTGTGAATGAATCAATAGCATGTGTATTAAATAAGGTGTCTTCAGGCCAGGCACATGCCTGTAAATCCTAGCACTCTGGAGGGCCAAGGCAGGTGAATTGCTTGAGCTCAGGAGTTCAAGACCAGTCTGAGAAAAAAGGAGACCCTATTTCTACTAAACATAGAAAAACTAGCTGGGTGCCATGGTGGGTGCCTGTAGTCCCAGTTAATCAGGAGGCTGAGACAAGAGGATTGCCTGGGCCCAAGAGTTAGCTGTGAGCTATAATGCCATAGAACTGTACCTAGGGTGACAGAGTCAGACTGTCTCAAAAAAAAGAAAGTGTCTTCAAACAGAAACATACATCAAAAAAGGTTATATACTGATTGCTTAGCAAAAATGTCATGACCAGAGGCTAGTAGAGACCTAAGCCTGTGTTTTTCCCAGGAGTAGTGGTTTATGAATTACTAATTTGGTATTTGGAGTGACATCATAGAACCTTACTACCTTGAGTGATGAGAAACAACTGGATCTCCCTGTGTGAATCACTCTCACTTCTAGCTGACAAATGGCCAGTGGAGAGCCTTTCATTGAACATCCCCAGATACAGTGGCTGGAGACCCATGTCACTTATAAGGAAATGAAGGTGTGAAGGAGAGCCTCATCCCTGGACAAAATGACACCAAACAGGACATGTTCATAGTTGCCCAAGAGTAGAACCAGGAAGACACACTGTTGGCATTACATTTTTCTTTCCCTAGGATTTCTTCCCTGATCAGCCCACTAATCTATGTTTTCTATTTTTTGTGAACAAAAAGTACCAAGCCTTGAAATAAGGGCAAAAGTTGCCATATGACCTTTAAATGTCATCTTAGAACACTGTCTAACCATCCCATAAAGATCATCTGATACTCTAGCTCAGAGTCAAAAAATTCTTTCTATAAATATCTTTGGCTTTATGCATCACATGGCCTCTGTGTCTCCACAGTAACTACTTAATGCTGCTATTGCAGTTGGGAAGCAGTCACAGTCATTCCACAAATGGATGGACATGGCTTGTTCCAATACAACTTTAGATGTAGATGCTGAAATTTTAATTTCATATAATTTTCAACCTGTCACAAATATTCTTCTTTTCATTTATTTCCCCAATCATATAAAAATGTAAAAACTATTCTTATTTATTTATTTAGCAACCGAGTCTCACTCTGTTGTCCCAGGCTAGAGTGTGGTGACTCATAGCTCATAGCAACCTCAAACTCTTGGGCTAAATTGATCCTCTTGCCTCAATCTCCCCAGTAGCTGGGACTTGAGGCACCTGACACAACACCCAGCTAGTTTTTCTATTTTTAGTACAGACAGGGTCTTGCTCTTGCTCAGGCTGGTCTGGAACTTTTGAGCTCAAGCAATCCTCCTGCCTTGGCCTCCCAGAGTGCTAGGACTACAGGTGTGAGACATTGCTCCTGGTCCTTATAATAGGTTTTTAAAAACCCTATCACTCCTGATGAGACAGCATGTACTTACTCTATATTTGCATGAGAGTTGGGTGTTGAAAATTTTTATATTGGCACCTTTCTCTTTCTCTTAAAGCCTGTTTTTGTAACATTGTTTAAGCTAATTTGTTCATGAGGGCAGCAGCCTGTCTACACTATTCATCACTGGATCTCTGGTGTCCTGCATAGTGTAGAGCACACAGTAGGGCTTTGGCAGGTGTCTGTCCAGCGAGGACATGCTTGAACAATCCCATTCATGCCCATCCCCTCCCCCAGATTACTAGTGTCGGCGCAAAGACTCCACTTTCCGTCCTTGTCCATGTTCTCCGTGGTTGGACACCAGAGCTTGTTGCTTTCATCCTCAAGGCATTCAAAGATCACATTATTTCTGTAGGTGGAGGGGAAGATGCAAGGTTTGCTGAAAGAATTTCCTCCATATTCTGAAAACAATCATGAAAAGGTTACAGGTCAGAAAGAGATGAAAAAGAATTCTATTTATCACACACAAACTACATGCCACACTCTATCTCAAGAAAGGCAATAAATAACATCAAATCTGCTGTGTTGACCACCTGGGGGACTATAACAAACTGGTCAACATACAGAGGCAGTCAACATATGGCACTAGGCCTCTGTACTGGTATGTACATGTGGTGCACATCCAGTCTATGAAACTTAAGTCCACTTAAGGAGATAGTCAATGTGGGGAGGTGGTCAATTATAGAGGTTCTACTGTATTTCCATCTTATGGGTAAGAGTAAACCAAAACAATCCACACTCACACACGTTGCTATCTACCTCAATATGACTTTCCTGTTCCACTGTTGTCTTCAACTTGACTCTACTAATTAAGGAATTCTTGCCCAGAAAGATAAAAGTTGCATATACATTTATCATTTACTGCAGAAACATCTTATAAAACTATTTAAATAAACATCAGACTATTCAACTTTTTCAGTAGACTGTATCTCTTATACACTGTTTACTTTTCAAGATTCTTTGAAACCATGTCCTCTGTAACTTCACCTTTCCATGACCACCAGTCAGTAACCATTAATTCATTATCTGTACCCACTCCAATCCACATCCCCACATTGGAAGACCCAAGACCACATCTATATCCTGACTTGGCCCTCCCCACTTCAAGATGCTATTAAGACTGTCACATAATTGCCCTTATTTCAGTAAGCAATCAACTTGGTCTTGCCCAATGAACAGGCTTTTTTGGTGATGTTTTAGGGAGAGCCATATTTTGACTAAAGGGTTAGACTTGAGGTGCAATGTTGACAAAAGATTAAGAGCAAAAATTCTGAAGGTTAGATTTCCTAGCATTAAATAACAGCTCTGCCACTCAACAAATGAACCTCTATGAATTTCAGTTTTCCCATCTATGATATGGGGCCAACAATCAGACTTATCTCATACAATAAATGAGTTATTTTATGTGAAGTGCTTAGAATACTGCCTGGCACATAGTAAATACTTGCTAAAAGTTCACTCTTAATTGTGACCATTATTATTTTATTATCTAACACCTGGAAAAGGCAACAGCAGACAGAATCCTAACTCAGGTCTGATTTTTGATTAGTGACTCAGAGGATAGTGGAAGAGGAGAACTCACATTTTTTGGGAACCACAATAGATCCTGTATAAAAGTGAACTCCAATCTTTACAAACCCCCCATGAAGTCAGCCTTAGCATCCTCATTTTGCAGATAATAAAAGTGACCAAGAAATTTAATAACTTTCCCAACATAATGGGGGAACCAGAGCTAAAATCTACCTTTTCTTGAGCATCTGGTGATTTATATAAATTCTAATCTGTTATCCCATCAGAATTGGGTCTAAGAAACTTGGATAGCACTATGGATAAATGGAAGTTTGGATATTAAGGTTAATGTTTAAGTTCTAGTAAGCTTTGGACTTAGAACTATATGCAGTGTTATATTATCATAAAACTAATGATAGTTTTTTCTATCTTTCTCAATCTGCCTATTTGGTTTCATTTTAAAAATGGCTAAAGCAATGGGTGTATTAATGATGGAATTTAAAGTCAAGAGTAAAGATGGTAAAGATTTGGACCAAGATAAAAAATTATCATAGGCTAAGGTCAGGTGGCTCACACGTGTAATCCTAACACTGTGAGAGACCGAGGTGGGAAGATTGCTTAAAGCCAGGAGTTCAAGACCAGCCTGAGCAATAGCAAGACCTTGTCTCTACAAAAAAATGAAAAAATCAGCCATGTGTGGTGATGCAAGCCTGTAGTCCCAGCTACTCAAGAGACTGAGGAAGGAGGATCACTTGAGCCTAGGAATTTGAGATTGCAGTGAGCTATGATGATGCCACTGCACTCCAGCCTCAAAAAAAAAAAAAAAAATTAGGTTAAGTATTAGGACAAAGTTAAAGTTATAATAAGATTTAAGGATAAAGTTGGTTTATAGTTAAGTGATGGATGCTAGAGCTAGAATAAAATTAAGGTTTAGTTGGAATTAGGCTTTTTTGAGTGTTAAAGAAAGAACATAATTATGATTTTTATGCAAGAATAAATGTGCCCATAAACAAGTACCTTGCATGCATTTTAATCTGTATGGAGGCAATAATACTTATGGACCCTTACAGACTTGACATTGCTTGGGACTGTAACCTTGAGAAGGATTTAATTTTACTGAGACCATTTATTAAATAGGTGAGGAGGAAAAGAGCTCATAGAACTGCCATGGAAAGATTCAACAGGATATTATACACAAAGCTTCTGGATCAGAGTCTAGCACAGAGAGGGCACTGAATGAACATTGGTCACTACTCAGGATTAGGCATGGAATAGAGTTAAGATTTAATGTGAAGCTGTGCTGAAGTGCAGGTAGGATCCATTGATAAGTGAATCTGGCCATTGTCAACTCTAGAAAGAGAAATACTCAAAAACGAGCATTGGGACTACAGCTCATAGTTTTAGCTCTGAGGACACCTGTTCTTGCTGCTGGCAGTGGGGACTGGAGGATCTGGGGCTGCCACAGTATACATTCTGAGCAGATGAGCAGACATTTGGTCCTGGAAATACCCCTCCTCATTGCGCTGACCTCCATCCTGCCCAGCCCCACCACCCCTCTAGGAGGATCGCTGCATCCTCTCTCCTTCTCACCACACACCACATTCTCCCTCGCTCCAGTAACTCACCATTTGTTTCGCAGAACTTCCACTGCTGCTTCTCATCAAAGCTGGAGGTGACGGAGCACCACAGCCTTCCAAGCAAGCTGCCTTCTGTGATACAGCTGTTATAGGACTTTCCTCGGTAGAGGAAGGGGAAGACGCATCGTGGGTAATCTGTTTGGAAGAGAGTTCAGGAGTGGCTTGACTTCCTGTAGTTGTTCACAGGACAGAGTTATTTAATAATCAATCAACCGTCAAACAGGACAAACATCAGATTCGGAAGAGACCTTATGAGTTCATTTCATCAAGCATTTAGGGAAGCCTATTCCACATATGACTGACCCTTGAAAAACAGGGATTTGATCTGCACAGGTCCACTTATACATGGATTTTTTTCAATAAAAGTTACACTGAGGGTGCCTGTCTCTCCTTCCTCAACTTCCACCTCCTCCAGCTCTTCCTCCTTTGCCACTCCTGAGACAGCAAGAAGAACAACCTTCCTCTTCCTCTTCTTCCTCAGCCTACTCACCTCAAGGAGGAGGATGACCTTCATGATAATCCACTTCCACTCAATTAATAGTAAAATATGTTTTCTCTTCCTTCTGATTTTCTTTCTTTCTTTCCTTTTCTTTAAAAAAATTGAGACAGAGTCTCACTCTGTCACCCTGGATAGAGTGCCGTGGTGTCATAGCTCACAGCAACTTCAAACTCTTGGGCTCAAGTGATCCTCCTGCCTCAGCTCCCCGAGTACCTGGGACTATAGACTCCTGCCATGAGGCCCTAATAGTTTTTCTATTTTTAGTAGAGATGGGGTCTCTCTTGCTCAGTCTGGTCTTGAAACTTCTGATTTTCTTAATAACATTTTCTTTTCTCTAGTTTGCATTATTGTGTGAGTATAGTATATAATACATATAACATGTACAAATATCTGTTAATCAACTATTTATGTTATCAGCAAGACTCCCAGTCAACAGTAGATTAGAAGTAGTTAAGTTTGGGGCAAGTCAAAAATTATATGTCAATTTTGTCTTTGTCTCTGTATACAAAAATACCCAGAAATCATGTAATTGTCAAAATCTTGGGTTTAAAAAAAAAAGCTATCTCTCAAATGCCTTTTCTCTTATACTCTGTTTCTTTTCTTATTAATTTAAGAAATAAAGAGAAAAAGAATGCAATGGTTCCATTTAATTGACTGGTCTCATGATATTACAAGACCCCTATGCAGAAAGCACCATTTTAAACATTATTAGTATTAAAATTATTATTCATTATTAACATTGAGCGTCTGGCTTCCCAGAGCACTTTCTGTGCTCACACACATGTTGTGTTATAATTTGTCTGCAAAACTATGATCATATTGGCTAGGCGGGGTAGCTCATGCTTATAATTCTAGCACTGTGGGAGCCCAAAGCAGGAGGATCACTTGAGCTCAGGAGTTCAAGACCAGCCTGAGCAATAGTGAGACCTTGTCTCTGTTAAAAATAGAAAAATTAGTCAGGCCTTGTGGCAGGTGCCTGTAGGTCCCAGCTATTCAGGAGCCTGAGGCAAGAGGATCTCTTGAGCCCAAGAGTTTGAGGTTGCTATTAGTTATGACACCACAGCCCTCTACCCAGGATGACACAGTGAGACTCTGTCTCAAAAAAAAAAAAAAAAAAAAAAGGGAAAAAAATATGATCATGTCACACACAGTCACATGTTCTTTTTTGTAATCTTCCCTACTCAGAAGCCCACTGACAGAGGACAATGTGAGGCCACTCACCTTCCGTAGTACAGTACTTCCATCTGCCGTCATACACTGCTCTGGTTGCACACCAATGGGAGAGGCTATTGGTTTTTGTGCAAGTGAAGTAAATAGACCCCTTGTAGGTGAAGGGAAAAACACATGTTTCTGTCTTATCTGAAGGACAGAAGGACAAAACAGGAAGATATAATCACAGTGAATGAGCAAAGGATGACTCTTGGTTCAGCTCTTGCTTTGGTCTGAATGTTTGTGCCCCTCCTTCCCCAAAATTAAAACGTTGAAATCCTAACCCCTATGCTGGGGCCTTTAGGGTCTGCGTCCTCATGACTAGGATTAGCGCCCTTATACAAGAGACCCCAGAAAGTTAGTTATTCCCTTCCATCCTATAAGGGCACAGCAAGAAGGTGCCATCTATGAGCCATGAAGTAGGCGCTCATCAGAAATTGGATCTGCAGGTTCCTGTATCTTGGACTTCTCAGCCTCCAGAACTGTGCAAAATAGATTTTTGTTTTTCTAAGCTACCCAGTCTATAGCTTACATTCCAAGTATACTGAGACAGTTATCATGGCAGTCTAGGGCACATGTCTAGGCTTACCATCCAACTTCTTATGTGTCAACTTACACATAAGAGGCCGTCTAGTGTGTGTTTGAACTAAGAGTATTGGAAAAGAGTTTCATAGATAATAAAGGCAACCAAGAGATATTGTTCCCCCTGTTTCTCAGAGTATAGAATGGGTGCCATAAATGTTATACAAGATACAGTTCTGTGGATCACAAGACCTCATTTAATAATATGGGGACACAGGTGAAATAATTTTGAAACACAGACTGGAAAGCAAAAATCCTTTTCCAACAGTCCTTTCAGTCTTTCTGATGACGCAAAAGAGAAAGCTTCAGTTTAATGCTAGTATTTCGCTAATGCCAGTATTTCTAATACTTAATAAACCCTTATTTAGCAAAAAAGAGGACAGGATTCAGGCCTAAAGCCTTATTCAGACAATAGTATTTAGTAGAATTTAATAATAGGATTTTGTTTTCATGGTATGGTATTTATTTTTAGGTGTACTTCCTATTTGTAGCTATTTATAGCTAGTGGTATTGCTTTTTTATATTCGAATCCCATATTAACTATTCTTTTAAAATGAATATATCAAAGTGAAGGAAAGCAGGCAAATTTAAAGAAAAATATTGAGTAAATAATAGCACCGGTGGCATGCAGGTGTGGCAAATATTGAGTGGGTAATACTTGAACCCGTAAAGGTGAAAAACACATCTTTGATCTTTTTACTCTTCTGTATGAGGACAGAAGCTTTGTCTTCTGCACAATGCAGTCACAGAACCCAGACTAGTGACTTGCTCAGGAAACAACTGACAGCATAAAATAAGTCCAGAAAATGCCACATGAAATAAAGTTAAACAGGTTTCCTTTTTCCTTTTTAAAAAATGTTTATTTTTAATTACTATGGGTGCATAATAGTTGTACATAGTTGTACATATTTGGGGGTACATGTGATGTTTCAGTACAGGTATACAATGGGTGATGATCAAATCAGGGCAAGCGTTTATGATTTCTTTGTGTTAATAACCTTCCAATTCCATTCTTTTTAGTTATTTAAAAATATACAATAAAGTATTATTGACTATAATCACCCTATTGTGCTGTTGAATCATCCCTACTTTATCCCTTCTCTTTGTTACCCTTCCCATCTTTTGGTCATCATCATTCTCCTCTCTATCTTCATGGGTTCAATTTAAAAAATTTTTAGCTACTAGGCTGGGAATGGTGGCTCATGCCTGTAATTCCAACTCTCTGGAAGGTGAGGTAGGTGTATTGCTTAAGCTCAGGAGTTTAAGACTAGTCTGAGAAAGAGCAAGACCCTGTCTCTACTAAAAAATAGAAAAAACTAGCCAGACATTGTGGCTGGTGGTTGTAGTCCCAGCTACTTGGGAGGCTGAGAAAAGAGGATCACTTGAGCAACCCAAGCGACTGAGGTTGCTGTGAGCTAGGATGACACCCTGGCACTCTAGTCTGGGAAACAGAGCAAGACTCTGTCTTAAAAAAAAAAAAGAAAGAAAAAGAAGGGCAGCACCTGTGGCTCAAAGGAGTAGGGCGCTGGCCCCATATGCTGGAGGTGGTAAGTTCAAACCCAGCCCTGGGCCAAAAAGTGCAAAAAAAAAAAAAAAAGAAAGAAAGAAAGAAAGAAAAAATTTTAGTTTCCACCTACAAGTAAGAACATGGAATTTGTCTTTCTATATCTGGCTTATTTTGCTTAACATATTGTCCTCCAGTTCCATTCATGATGCTACAAATGACAGGATTTCATTCTTTTCTGGAGCTGAATAATATTCCATTGTGTATATGTACCATATTTTCTTTATCCTCCATTAATGGGCATTTAAGGTTGATTTTATATCTTGGCTATGGTAAATAGTGTGGCAATAAACATGGGAATTACAGGTATCTCTTCAATACACTTAGTTACCTCTTTTGGTTATATACCCACCAGTGGGATTGCTAGATTATATGGTAGTTCTATTTTAAATTCATGAGTTTTTCCCCCCAGAAATGTATATACTGTTCTCTATAGCAGCTGTACTAATTTACATTCCCACCAGTAGTGTACTAGGGTTCTTCTTTTTCCACATCCTCACCAGCATTCTTTATTATCTGATTTTAAAAAAGCAATTTTAATTGGGGTGAGAAGATATCTAATTGTGATTTTTATTTACATTTCTCTGATGACTAATGATGTTGAACATTTTTTCATATACCTGTTGGCCATTTATATGTCTTCTTTTGAGAAATGTGTATGCAGATCTTTCACTCATTTTTATATTGAATTATTTGATTTTTTTCCTATTGAATTCCTTATATGTTTTAGTTAATAATCCCTTGTCACATGGGCAGTTTGCAAATATTTTCATCCATTCTGTGAGTTGTCTCCTCATTTTGTTGATCATTTCCTTTGTAGAAGCTTTTTAGCTTAATGTAATGTCATTGGTCTATTTTTGCTTTGGTTGCCTGTGCTTTTGAGGTCTTACTCAGAAAATCATGTCCTGGAATGTTTCCCTAATGTTTTCTTCTAGTAGTTTCGCAGTTTCATACTTTCAGGTCTTAGATTTAAGTCTGTAACTGATTTTGATTTTATTTTTGTATATAGAAAGCCATAAGGGGCTAGTTTTGTTCTTCTGTATGTGAATATCCAGTTTTCCAAGCACCATTTATTAAACAGACTGTCCTTTCCCATGGTGCCTTTGTCAAAAATGAGTTCACTACAAGTGCATGGATTTATTTCTCTATTCTGCTCCATTGTTCAATGTGTATGTTTATTATGCCAACACCATGCTGTTTTGGTTACTCTAGTTTTGTGGTATAATTTGAAGTTAGTTAATACGATTCCTCCAGCTTCATTCTTTTTGCTCAGGATAACTTTGGCTATTGTAGGCTTTTTGTAGTTTCTTATAAATTTTGAGATTAATTTTGGTATTTCTGTGAATAATGCCATTGGCATTTTGGTAAGGGTTGTATCAAATCTGTAGATTGATTTGAGTAGTATGACCATTTTAGCACTATTAATTCTTCCCATCCATGAATCTGAACTATCTTTGAATTATTTTGTGTGTCCTCTTCCATTTTTTTATCAATGTTTTATAGTTTTCATTGTAGAGACTTTCACTCCTCTGATTAATTTTATTCTTATGTATTTTATTCTATTTGTAGTATTGTAAAAAGGATTACTTCCTCGGTTTCTTTCGCAGATCTTTCACTTAAATAGTTTTCTTTAATGAAGGGCTCACAATAAGATTTGATATCCAAATAAGAACTAAAGTATAGAGTATATTTAGTTGTCTTTTTCCCCCCACCACTCAATAGCTTTAGAAAATAATCATCCCTGACATACATCTCAAGAAAAGCTGTTCTATCTCAAATTCCTCATTATACAAGGAGCCATGCAGCAATAACGAATAACTTAAAGTTAATGCCTTTTAAAAAAAATTATAACTGGGCTATCTTATCTGCTAGTCCAGGATCACAACTTTCCTCATTGCCACCATCTCATTTGTTTTCTACTTCTTTTTTTTTTTTTTTTTTTTTTGAGACAGGAGCCTCAAGCTGTCCCCCTGGGTAGAGTGCCGTGGCATTACAGCTCACAGCAACCTCCAACTCCTGGGCTCAAGCGAGTCTCCTGCCTCCGCCTCCCAAGTAGCTGGGACCACAGGCGCCCGCCACAACGCCCGGCTATTTTTGGTTGCAGCCGCCATTGTTGTTTGGTGGGTCCAGGCTGGATTCGAACCCACCACCTTAGGTGTACGTGGCTGGCACCTTAGCCGGTTGAGCTATAGGCGCTGAGCCTTGTTTTCTACTTCTATCGCTCCCTCAAAAATATAGTGGAGGTAGAGTACCATGAGTGAGATACTCTGATGGGTGATCTGTGTGCATGCAATAGATTATGGATGAAAATGATGCTTCCTGTTCCTTGGCTCAAAAAAAGAAAGTTTCAAGAAATCCTCTGTGCTATTTTCTTCCTCTGATAGCCGAATATAGAACAACAGTTCTCATTTGAGAATGAGGGCAATTATGACCTTAGACAATGTTTGGAGACATTTTTGGTTGTTAGAACTGGCAGGGGGAAGAGGCTGGTGGCTGCAACTGGTGTCTATAAGGTAGAAGCCAGGAATGTTGCTAAACATCCTACCATACACAGGACAGCTCCCCACAGCAAAGATGGTGCTGAAGTTGAGAAACTCTGATAAAGAGGACTAGGCAGAAAAGGTCCTGATGTTTGAGGGTCATTACAACAGTCCACCCTGTACTAATACAGATGGATAAGACATAATCTCTGACTTTGAGATCTAGTAGCCCCATTCCTTGTTCCAGATTAGATTCTTACCCCAGATAATCTGCAGTAGGTCATGGGGGGCATGAGGAATGTGTTGGGAAAGAATGGAGAAGCCAGACTTCCCCTTTGAACTGCACCCATGGATTGATAAAATTAAAAATCCTTAAATATGTCATGTTCCACCTCCATTTTTCAGAACCATGTGATCTTGTTTTTGTAAAGTTTAAACCAGTTTAAATCTGGAGGGTGCTTAGAAAAGTACCTAGATCATGGCTGCTGTTTAACTAATATTAGCTACCATCATCATCATCATCATCAATGTTCTCAACTATATACACCATTGAGTGTATGGGATACTATGATGGGGGATGTGGCAGATATCCCTATAACATGGAGTTGAGGTTATTTTGGGGAGTTGTTAGTAAGAATCAGTACATAATGAATACTATTAGCCATCTGCAAAGTAATCCAGCAGATGGCCTAATCTCCTTAACTGAGTTACAATCCTCCATAATCCAGACCCTGCTGATCTGCCTATTCTCACTCCCTGGTTAACATGCCCTTGACCTTACCCCACATTCTTTCTTATCTTTGGGGTTTTGCTCATGCCTTTCATCCTACCTTCAACTACCTCTCATTCATTCCAAGCTTTGGTCCCTACTACTCATCCATAAAGACTTGGTTCAGTTTGGGTCAAAGCTTTTCCTCATGCTTATACTACTCAGAGCCACTCTCTATCAACATAACCTACCAATTAGAAAAAAAAAAATTCTGTCTATCATTTCCATTCACTGTGAACTCTTTGAGTGGAGGACCTACATTTTATTTATTGCTGCATTCCTGGTCCATAACACAGAGCCTCTAACTTTGGGATCACTCAATAAATGTATATTGTATTTTTCTGTAAATATGTGCAGAGGGGACTTGGGGATACCAAATTTAACCAGAGGAATGTGGGTGTGGTCTCAGGGAGGCATGAGACTATAAATAGAAAGTTGACATTCCATCAAGTATATTGTTCCTTCGCTGAATTAACTGTGAATTCACTTGTCAGTTGTTTTGAGAACCCAGAACATTAGGAAAAACACTTGTATGTTCTTATGGTTGAGATGGCTGTGTGTTCACCAAAATCAGCATCTACTTCCTAACAAAGGCACTGCTAGACTACATCTCCCAACTTGCTTGCAGCTAAATATCATATGAGTTATGGCCAGTGAAAGTGGGAGGAAGTGAAGTTACATCACTTACAGGCATGGCATAAACAACAACAACACCTCTCCTCCAAGGTCATCCAGATTCTCTTGATCCTTGCCTATCAGCTAAAATCAAAGAATCCTCAGAAGACTCTGAAATTCTAGGGGATGGTGGTGCCACAAGGTGGAAGGAGCTTGGATCCCTGAGTGGCCATGTGGGACTCTGTTTGCTGACCAGGTGCAGCCTCATTGGTCTTTCCAGGAGCAAGAAAATAAAATGATATCGTGTTAACCTGCTCTGAGTTTGGAGTTTGTTTGATACAATAGCTATTATCAATGCCCTAATAAATATATACTTTTTAAATACAAATTCATGTTTTCACGGACTCTAATGCTCATGTGGTGATCCCAGGCTAGGAATCTTTGAAATATAGACTGTGACCATTGAAAAGAGGCTTTTTGGGGTTAAAGCACATGAATATGTGTTTCTTGAGCCTTATCTAAAGGAGAAGGATTTATCAGGCAGAAAAGTATTCTAATTGTGGAGAATGCCTCACCATGGCTTGAGTGAACTATATATAATCAAGTCTTTCTTTGTTCTCTTTTTATGCTCATGATCGTCTTTTGGTTGTTAATTTAGACACCTAGATACATTAAGAATATAATTAGGGCATCCAAGGATTCAGTTTATGGGAATGATATACCCTGACTTTTTATTTAACAAATTCATATTTCCTCTACCATCTACTGAGCATTATGAAAGATGTTTATCTAATATTTTACTTAATATTTCCAATAACCCCATGAGGTAATGCCCCTATTTCTCTTTTATAGTCTGGGAATTGACTTTGTAGAGGTTATATTGCTTGACCAAGAGTACAGAAAAGGACCAGGTACAGTGCCTCATGCCTGTAATACTAGCACTGTGGGAGGCTGAGGTAGGTGGATTGCCTGAGATCAGAATTTGGGATCAGCCTGAGTAAAAATGAGACCCCCATCTGTACTAAAAAAATAGAAAAAATTAACTGGGCATTTTGGCAAGTACCTGTAGTCCTAATACTTGGGAGACGGAAGCAAGGGGATCACTTAAGCCCAAGAATTTGAGGTTGCTGTGAGCTATGATGACACCCTGGCACTCTACCAAGGGCAACAGGGTGAGATTCTGTCTCAAAAAGGAAAAAAAAAAAAAAAA